TTCTCTTTGGAAAATTCATGGTTGTAACAGATGGAATTGATCCAGCAAAAGTTATTAAATGAAACGCCACATCCAATAGGCGGGAAATATATAAACAATAGGAAAAGCTTCAGATAGATGATTTTATAATCACACTATGGAGAATTTTAGAGAATATTTAATTTAACTTGGAGAATGATCACAAGAGAAAAAAGAGTTTCAAAATCATATTTTATTATAAATCAAAAAACAAGTGTTTGGAGCATAGTATAGAGAAAAGTTTATAAACAATAAGATGGAACTGTGCAAACCGTATACATGGAACAAATATTGAATGGGAAAAAGCTCTTATTTGCCTTCTCATATTTACTAAATTGAAACTAAAAAATTAAAAATCAAAAGAAAAATCGTTTTAATTAAACTTCTTAGTTTTATAAATGAGGAATAAACTAACAATAATCACTATATGATAATTCCTAGAGAACATGATTTCGACATAGAAAAGCATCCAAAATGTGTGAAACTATCGTTACTTTTTTATCTTTTCCGCAACTTAAAACACCAAAGATGTAAAATAATATTTGATTCAAATTTTTATAGACCACATTGAAGCAAATTGGTTACATTTGACAAATTAATAGTGCATTTATTTATTTCATTCCTTATAAAATGCAAAATTGACGCTATATTTGTACTTAAAACTATAAATATTTAAAAAACAGTTTGAGTATTGGAATAAAAAGGTTAAAAATAACGAAAATTCTAGTAGACTCAATTTTTGTTTTATTTTTTATTTTTCTTTCTTTGAAATATTCAATGTTAAATCAACATTTTATTTAATTCTATGCAAATCTAAATTACATATGTATGTGTTATTTATTCTTAAATTATTCAAACATTTAAAAAGTAATAATTTATTCTAAAACACTAAAATTAGCATGATATTTATAATATAGTAGCCATTTCTACAGGAATTAATTTAAAAGTGTTTGTCATAAAAAATTTAATAATGCAAATTTAGTTCTCTGACAAAGAGGCATAAATTGAAAAATTGAAAATCTAAGAAAATTTTTAATTTATTTAAATAGTATTAAGATAATGCCATCTCATTTTTATTCAGCCTCTGATCAACTAATTTATCA